TGCTCCTTTTTTATGAATCTCAGGGGGTGACAAATTCCCCTTATATGCAAATTCTGTGGGGATCACACCTGTTCTGTATTCTTGGGTCTGACAGCAAGAAAAGTTGAAGAGATTCCTCCCAGGAAGGCTGCTATAGAGCATTCTGAAGAGCCCCAGGTCCTGCATTCAAAATTTAGAGGTGCAAATTTAGGTCCCCAGAGAGGCAGGGAAGTGGAAGAGGCCAACTCAATGCACAAGTACTTGTCTTTTTGGGCTTCCATGACCCATGTTCTCTGAATCCATTTCTGTTATAAAGTCTCCAGGTGCATGGCTGGAACTGATGATTGCCACTTTTTGAGGTTATTTTATTACAAATCCTTCCTAACTGTGCCCCAGATGAAACTGCAGAATCCAAATAGGCAGCGAGATCATACTACATTCAGATTTTGAGGGCAGGCAAGATCTTCACTGAACAATTGTGACTTGGGGGAAGAAAGCCTGAGAGAAAATTTGCTGGGTATTTGCCAAAGGCCCTTCTAGTAGGAAGCCTGGTGGGTACCTTTTATATTTGATCTTGTATTTCTGAACAGTGCTTGGGAAAATAATGAAAACAAAATTGACTCCCAATCTAGAATGCCTCTCTACAAAGGTAGAAGAGAAATAAAACTTTTATATAACTCAAAACTGAATGTGATGTGCATCAGAGGCAAACATAGTGTTTAAACATCATAGTTTGGTTTGAGTTATAAAACATATGTGTTGTCAAGATTAATTATAATACTCCTCAAGTAGGAAGATTTGACAGCACCAGCTGCCATAGTTTATCCCAAATTCACCTGGTAACCAGAAAGATGATCTAGGTTTAGTAATTGGCTTTATTAAATGGAAAAATAAACTTCTAATCTTTGTGACAGAAAATGGTTTTGCAACTTGGAGCTAAGTTCCTGATAAAATTAGGCTTCTATCCTACTGCAAAATTGTGAAATAGGGCACTATCTTTTTTTCATATTTACATTTAAAATACATTCTTCCCGGGTCCTGGAGAAAAGCATTTCTGAGTTTGTTTTCTAAAGCTTTTTTTTTTTTTTTTTCCAAAGAGTATCAAATCAGCCAGCTAAATGTTAGAAAGTTGCACGTTTTGGAGACTGATTTAGTTGGATAGGTGGGCTTCTCAACTTAGCTTGTTTCTTAGATTGCTGGCTTCAGGGTGGAGCCACTTAATAAAGCAAAGAAAGCATGCATGCAGTTTTTAGAGCTTAAAATTTAAATATGTGCAAAGCAGGAACAGCTGGAAGGCATAACACTTAGATCCCCAAAAATCAAGAATCCCATTTTTACATTGAATTCTGTAGGACTGGCAGAAGTTGCTGAGGACTGGCGTTTCCTTTCTTTTGGGAGTCCAGAATTCAATGTAAAAATGGGATTCTTGATTTTTGGGGATCTAAGTGTTCAATGATTCCACAGTGCACCTCAGTAGAGGGACATTCCTTTGAGGTTGGTGGCAATCCTATGCCAGTTAGCACAAACTATGATGAGTCCATCCCACATGGGTGTCCTACCCCTCAATGAGGTGGGTGGAAATGTTTCTGTAGACTCTAGTTTCCAAACCATGCCTTTTCTATCCAGTCACCCAAAGAAATAAGCAACTCTCTAGAGTGATGAACATTTACTGTAAGCAACTGCTGCCAGCCTCTAACACCACAGCTCTTGCCAATGACTCACCAGCAATTACATGCACCTAGTCAAGTTCTCTCACAATATACAATGTAATCTCTGGTATCCCCCAAAGCCAAGGAGATCAAGTGATGCAATAGAAAAAAAGGGCAGAATGTTAGACCTCAGAGGAATCTGCTTACAACTCTGAGGACATCAGGAGAAAAAGCAGTTTCCTTTTGGGAGCAACCTGCTTTTGTTTCCCTTAAGTGATTCTAGGCTAGAATTCTGTTAGCAATCTTTTCTTGGGGGGTCCCCTCATGTGGCATTTGGAGTGACGAGAGAAAAGCAAAGACAGGAGTAAATGGAGAAACAGAATTCATTTGACCTGATTGTTTTACAGAGTATCTTAAAACAATGCATATGAGTATGTACATAGACAAAATATCAGTTTTAATAAGTCAACATTTGACTGTAGAGCTCTTTACAATCCTTTTCTTAATTGTAATTACTACTCATCATTATACTTTTGCTTTTGCTGCTAGCTGGACCTCTGTAGCCAAATGAGGAGCTGTTAAAACCTCAGTCGTTGCTCACCACCCTTCCTCACTGCAGTGTGATAGACAGCTCTCAGACAGCAATCATGCTAAACCTGCCAGAAGTATCCCAACCAGTGACCCTATCTTGAATAAAGGTCAGGTAAAGCCAAACTTGTGGCTGGGCATGGTGGCTCATGCCTATAATCCCAGCACTTTGGGAGGCCAAGGTGGGCAGATCACCTGAGGTCAGGCATTCAAGAACAGCCTAACCAACATGGGGAGACCCTATCTCTACTAAAAATACAAAAATTAGCCAGGTGTGGTGGTGGGTGCCTGTAATCCCAGCTACTCAGGAGGCTGAGGTAGAAGAATGGCTTGAGCTGGGAGGCAGAGGTTGCAGTGAGCCAAGATCACACCATTGCATTCCAGTCTGGGCAACTGAGCGAGACTCTGTCTCAAAGAAAAAAAAAATCCAGCCAAACCTGCTGGATTACTTTCCAAGGGGGTTGGGCACTCTTGGTCCCAAGATATTTATGCTTGAGACACTGAGTTAATGATGTTCACCAACTAAATAAAACTCAGAACTTATAAAAATGTCACAGTATTTTAAGAACAAAAAGCATTATTTGTTTTCCTTTAAAAATAATACACTCATAAATTCTTGCTAAAATCAATAGTAACATAGAAAAGTAACAATACTAATAGCCTGTCACAAGCTGATTACAGCCTCTTGTAATAAAGTACACTACTCTTCACCTATATAACCATTTGAAATGGGTGGATTTCTCCTCTTGCTTTCTGAGGAAGGCCTACTCTAACAGAGTAGCTTTCAATAAACTATCTCTTCTCACTGCAAGGCATTCCTCTTCTTGTTTTCTGAGGCTGCCCTACTCTGCAACTGAGTAATCTCTAATTAACTATAACTTTACTCTGCAACTCACCAAGAATTCTTTCCTATGTGAGATCCAAGAAACCACTCTTGGGGTCTGGGACAAGATCATCACATCTCTTTAGAGACTCTGCCAGAACTTCAGTGAGGTGAAGTCCCAACCCAAGGAATGAGGTCCCAACCCAAACAAAATAGACTCCACAGCACCAACTGGATGACACAAACTCTAGCTATAAATTTTTGACAAATAAACCCATATGACCTCCACCTAGTTTAGAAATAGAATATTTTAATCATCTTTCAAAAATTCACCTGTGTTTTGTCCCAGGAATCTCTTTTTCCTCAACCAGAGGCTATTAATGTGATTTATTTCACCATAGGTTTATTTTGCCTGAAATAATAAATACATAAATACACAAAACGCAATTTTTTTTGAGACAGAGTCTTACTCTGTCACCCAGTGGCATAATATCTCACTTCAATCTCCGCCTCCCAGGTTCAAGTGATTCTCCTGCCTCAGCCTCCTGAGTAGCTGGGATTACAGGCATGCACCACTATGCCCAGCTAATTTTTTTGATTTTTTTTTTAGTAGAGATGGGGTTTCATCATGTTGGTCAGGCTGTTCTCAAACTCCTAATTTCATGATCCGCCCACCTCAGCCTCCCAAAGTGCTGGGATTACAGGCATGAGCCACCACGCCCAACACAAAACACAATTTTATGTCTAGCTTTTTTCATTTAGGAGATTCATCTGGGGTGTGAGCTTTAGTTATTTGTTTCTTTGTATGGCTGAGTTGCATTCTGCTATATGAATGCTATGCAATTAATTAAAACTACTGCTTTCACCCAACACCTTTTGGTGAACTACTTACAAATTGGCTCTCAAATGAATGTAAAACATTTGTTGCTAAGTTGTGCCCTTTCAGTCTTACCTGCATTAATCTACTCATAACAAGACAGTCACTATGAGAAAACGATTCTCCAAATTATTGAAAGTTTAAGTCCTCCAAAAAAAGAATTATTAGGGAAGACATTTCACAGTTATCCCATAGTGTATTATTTTCATCTGTTGACCACAATCTTAGATAAGACAGAATAGTTTAACATACGTGGCAGTACATTTCACTCATTGTACTTCAGTGTTAAAACATTAAAAACCATCTAATTTTATTAAAAGAAATGTAAGTTCACCCATAGTCTAAGCAAAGCATTTTAAAATCCACTATATTCCTCCTGGTCAAAATACAGTTGCAAGTACTCAAGAAGCATTCTTTTTTCCCAATATACTAATCTTGCAGTTCTGTTTCTACATTTTTTTAAAGTGAGGCTACTTACTTAGTGAATGTTGACAGGAACTATCTTCACATTTCCCTGATATAGGTGAAGATGTTATTTTCATCACATCATATACTCAACTCTTACTGTCTTCTATCACATCAAACAAAACTAAAGACACCTACTTTATTCTATTTTAAAGTTATGTTAGTACTTTAACTCAGTGGTCTCTAACCTTTCTGGCACCAGGGACTGGTTTCATGGAAGACATTTTTCTACAAACCAGCAAGGAGATGGTTTTGGTATGAAATATTCTATCTCAGATCATCAGGCATTAGTTGAAGTCTCCCAAGGAGCACAAACCTCACATGCAGTTAACAATATGGTTTGTGAAAATCTAATAACACCACTCATCTGAGAGGAGGCAGAGCTCAGATGGTGATGCTCACTCACCCACCACTCACATCCTGCTGTGCTGCCCAGTTTCTAACAGACCACACAGATCAGTGCCAGTGTGCAGCCTGGGGAATGGGGACCCCTGGTTTAAATGAACTTTGTTTTCTTTTGTTTTGTTTTACTTACAGGGGAATTGGTGAAGTAATTTGTCTTAAAAATTCAGAATATCCCTCTTACTCTAATACAGAAAAATGCTCTAAACACATATCATATGTTTACATCCATTACCACTTTATTCAAACACAAAGAGCATATTTTTAAACATTCTCTTCATGTGTTTTACATTTGGCATTAAACTTCCATGAAAAATGTGAATAATGATGTTCACCTACTGTAGAAGGATCTCACATTGTTCTGATGCAGAAAAAAAAAACAACACATATTTTCACATGAACACCATGGATTAAGGAAAAGCAGCAATGGATTTGAGCTGAATTATATAAATAATATTTGTTGTCCAAAAACCTTGAATACTGTAAATACAAATGAAGCATCCACGAAATGTACCTGTCAAAATATCAATGTTCTTGCTACTTTAAAACATATAAGCAAATAAATTATCTAATTATTTTGCCTTTATTCTGTATAAAAAAATACTCTTATTTAGCGTAAAGGCTGAAAGTGTCTGTGCTTCAGTCCTTTCTTGAGTTAATTCTGACATATTTAGAGTTCATTTTTTATTAAATACTTCCTCACATTTATCACATCTGCAAACTGTTTCTATGAATCCCTAGGTGACTCATTATTTGATATTTTGAGTAAAACTTTTCACATTTTTATATCTATACTGTTTCTCTGGTATGGATTACCTTGAGTAAGGGTTAAGCACAGTTTAATTTGCCACATTTTTAATATCTGTGTGGCCTTTTTCCAGTTTATATTCTCTGCTGTTGTCTAAGGCTTGAAAAATGGTTAAAGGTTATGCACGTTCTTAACCCTTGTAGGGTTTCACTCCCATATATATTATCTGATGCACAATAAGACATAGGTAACAAGTAAAAAATCTGCTCCATGTTTTACATTTTTAAAGTTTTTCTCTAGTATGACTTCTCTGATGTGCAGTGAGGTATGACCTAGAGTTAAAGGCTTTGCCACATTCTTCACATTTATAAGGTCTCTCTCCAGTATGACTTCTCTGATGTGTAGTGAGGTATGACCTATAATTAAAGGCTTTGCCACATTCTTCACATTTGTAGGGTCTCTCTCCAGTATGACTTCTCCGATGGGTAGTGAGGTATGACCTAGAGTTAAAGGCTTTGCCACATACCTCACATTTGTAGGGTCTCTCTCCAGTATGACTTCTCCGATGTGTAGTGAGGTATGACCTATAGTTAAAGGCTTTGCCACATTCTTCACATTTGTAGGGTCTCTGGCCAGTATGAATTCTCTGATGCTGAACAACATCTGAACTATAACTAAAGGCTTTGCCACATTCTTTACAGGTATAGGGTTTCTCTCCAGTATGAGTTCTCCGATGCACAGTAAGACCTGAGGAGTCACTAAAAGATTTGCTACATGCTTTACATTTGTACGGCTTTTCTCCAGTATGAGTTCTATGATGCCGAATAAGGTGTGAACTATAAGGAAAGGCTTTGCCACATTCTTTACATTTATAGGGTTTCTCTCCAGTGTGAATTCTCTCATGCACAATAAGATTTGAGAAACAAGTAAAAGGTTTGGCACATACTTTACATTTGTAAAGATTTTCTCCAGTATGAATTTTCCGATGTTGGGTAAGGCACGAACTACGGCTAAAGACTTTGCCACATTCTTTACACTTAAAAGGCTTCTCTCCAGTATGAACTCTCTGGTGCATAATAAGATTTGAAGAACGAGCATAAGATTTGCTACATACTTTACATTTGTAAAGTTTTTCTCCTGTATGAGTTGTCTGATGTTGAGTAAGGCATGAACTACGGTTAAAAGCTTTGCCACATTCCTTACATTTATAAGGTTTCTCTCCAGTATGAATTCGCTTATGTTTAGTAAGGTATGAACTACAGCGAAAGGCTTTGCCACATTCTTTACATTTGTAGGGTTTCTCTCCTGTATGAATTCTCTGATGCACAATAAGATTGGAGGAACGAGTAAAAGATTTGCTACATGCTTTACATTTGTAGAGGTTTTCTCCAGTATGAATTCGCTGATGTTTGGTAAGGTATAAACTACAGTTAAGGTTAAAAACTTTGCCACATTCTTTCCATTTATAAGCTTCCTCTTCGGTAGGAATGATCTGATTTTGAGTAAGGTACAAACTATGGTTAAAGCTATCACCACATTTTTCACATTTGTATGGTTTCTCTTTGTTATGGAGTACCTGCTTTCTAAGATTTGATGATTGACTTTGATGATTGTCTTTATCATATTTATTACATCTGTGTGAGTCTTCTCTGATAGGGATGGTCTGATGTTGAGTATGTTTTAATGACTGGGTACAAACTTCACATTTATCACATTTGTAAGACTCTTCTTGCTTCTCTTGCATATGCATACTCTGAAGAAAGACTTTCTCAAATTCTTGACATTTGTATTGTTTCTCTAGAAAATAATTTTCCTGATGATTTTTAGGGCTTGATCTTTGGTTCAAGATTTTATCAGAATTATTGCACTGATAATTTTTCTCTCCAATAAAAATATCTTGGTAACCATTTAGAGTAGAGACCGGCCTAAAGAACACTGAAGGTTTATCATATATGTGATGTTTTCCCCAAATATCAATTTCCTGTTGTTGATTAAGCAATGATGAATGAGTAAAGATCTTATATTGATCAAAGTTATTGCTTTTGGCACAAGAAGAAAGTATTTGTTGGTGAAACAAACTTTCAATAGAGGACTCATCAAATTGATCATATTTAAAAGTTTTCTCATCATAACACCCACTATGCCCTTTACACTCCTCCCTTTTCCACCTTTTCCTTATATGTAAATTCTCAAGATCACAGCTCTCATGTCTCCTCAGTATCACTTTTTGGAATGATGCCTCTGTGCAGTGCTCTGTCAACAGGTCCTTGTTATGATGCAAAAATATATCTGAAAGATATAAAAATTTTAAGAATTCCAATTACTAGATTCGGGTACATATATTTTATAAATCTAATATACAAAATTATGCTAAGTTAAGAACACAACAGTTGAGTGAAAAACTTGAGGTCCTATTTCCTCAACTGATATACAAACTTTACTACAATAACCTTACTACAATACAGTGGCATGTGAACTACTAAGACACCAACAGTGGAGGAAAGGGAGGGCTTGTGCCAGCACCCCCTTGCCCCTCAGCAGCGTCTGCATGATGCTGGGAGAAAACTGTACATTTCGGAGACAGACAGCACAGTGACTAGAGGACTACATAGAAGCCAGTGCTGCTCTGTCACAGCATAGACCTGGCAGGATTCATCACCTTCTGACTTAGGAGCTGCTGGTCTCTGAATAACCAACAGTGTTACTCCAGTAACACATCAGGAACATTGGATTCTGAGATGTACTGGCTTCAGGTGTGACCCAGAACATTTCCAACTGTGGTGGGTATAATGAAAGACACCTTCTGCTTCAGCAAAGAAGAGGAAAAAGCAAAGGGGACTCTGTTTTGCACTGCTTGGCCACAGTGAAGTAGAGAACCAAGCAGACTCTTGGTGTCCCCAAGTCAGCATTTCCGGACCTGCCCTAGGCCGAAGAGTAAGTCCCAGACATGGAAGCAGTCATCACAAGCTGACTGAAGAACGCTTGGGTATTGAGTGAACATCAGTGACAGTCCAGTGAAAACCCCTGTGGGCTGGTGGTGGAGACCAGTGGTAATGGCAGAGAGCATGAGGCTCCTCTGCCTGCAGCAAGGGGAAAGAGGAGTGGGAAGGATGTTGCCTTGTGATTTGAATGCCAGCTTAGCTGCAGTAGAATAGAACATGAGATAAATAAGGTTTCTGACTTCAATATCTGGCTCCCACGCAGTATCTCCTGACCCACCTGGGGCCAAAGGGAACTTATTACCCTGAGGAGACACAAACCTGGCTTGTTGCCACCTGCTGATTGCAGACCTCTAAGGTCTTGAGTAAACTTAGGTGGTAGCCAAGTAGTAATTACACTGGGCCTTGGGTGAGACCCAGTGCTGTGCTCACTTTAGATCTAAATTACCACAGTCCCAGTGGTGGGGGCAAGAGGGAAGCTTGTGTCACCCCACCCCAGCTCGAGGTAGCACAGCAAAGAGAGAGAATTCCGTTTGTCTGGAAGAAACTAAGGGACGAGAACAAGAGTCTCTGCTTGATAATCCAGATAATTCATTCAGATTTTAACCAAGATGAACAACATGGTACCGCTATGAGTCTGCAAGAACTATGTTACTGAGTTTGAGGTCCAAGTACCTTCAAATTCCTAGAGAGCCTTTCCAACAAGGGTGGGCACTAAGCCCAGACTGTGAAGGCTACAATCAATGCCTAGACACAAACATGTACACATTAAAACCATCCAGGAAAATGTGGCCTCACCTAACAAACTGAATAAGAGACCAATCCTGAAGAAACAAAATAAGTTACTTTTCAGACAGATAATTCACAATAGTTGTGTTGAGGAAACAAATTAAAGATAACATGAAGAAGGAATTCAGATTCTATTAGATAAATTGAACAAACAGATTAAAAGGAATCAAGCAGCAACTGAAGTTTAAAAATGCAACTGGCATACTGAAGAATGCATCAAAGTCTCTTAATAGCAAAACTGATCAAGCAGAAGAAAAAATTATTGAGCTTGAATACAGGCAGTTTGAAAATATGTAGAGAAGACAACAACAAAAAAAGAATGAAGCATGCCTATAAGATCTAGAAAACAGCCTGAAAAGGGCAAATCTAAGGGTTATTCACCATAAAGAAAGAGCTAGGTATAGAAAGTTTATTCAAGGAATATGATCAGAGAACTTCCCAAATCCATAGAAAGATATCAATATCCAAGTATAATCAGGTTGCAGAACACAAAGCATATTGAACTCAAAGACAACTACTTCAAAACATTTAATAATCAAACTCCCAAAAATTAAGAATAAAGAATCCTAAAAGCAGCAAGAGAAAAGAAACAGCATACAATGAAACTCTAGTATTTCTGGCAGCAGACTTTCAGTGGAAACTTTACAGGCCAGAATAGAATTGCATGACATATTTAAAGTGCTGAAGATACAAAACTTTTACCCTAGAATAATGTAACCAGTGAAAATATCCCATAAGCATGAAGGAGAAAAAAAAGCAACATTCCCAGACAAACACTGAGGGATTTCATCAAAACCAGACCTGTCCTACAAGTAATACCACAGGGCATTCTCCTTCATCTGTAAGAAGAGAATGTTAATGAACAATAAATAAGAAGTCATCTGAAGGTACAGAACTCATTGGTAATAGCACAGAGTAAAATGGAATATAATATGGTAATTGTGGTGTGTAAAATACTCAAGTAGAAATACCCATTGATGAATCAATACAACTACAATAATGTTTCAAGACACAGACAGTACAATAAGACATAAAGAGAAACAAGAAAGCTTTAAAATGGGGAAACAAAGTCAAAGGTAGAGTTTTTACTAGTTTTATTGTTGCTTATTTGTTCAGTTATCAGTTAAAAATAATAGGCTATAAAATAGTATTCGTAAGCCTCATGGTAATCTCAAATTTAAAAAAGATACAACAGATAAACAATGCAATAAAAAGTAAAAAATTATACCACCAAGAAAAATCACATTCACTAAAATGAAGACAGGAAGGACAAAAAAAAGTGAAGATACAAAACCAGAAAACAACAAAATGGCAGGAGTAAACACATACTTATCAATAATAACACTGAATGGAAAGGCACTAAGCACTCCAATTAAATAACACAGAATGAGTGAGAAAAAAACAAGAAAGATACAATGGTCTGCTACCTACAAGAAACACACTTCATCTGTAAAGATACACAAAGACTGAAAATAAAGGAATGGAAAAATGTTTGATGCCAATGGGGGGAAAAACAGAAGAAGCTATACTTAGACAAAATATATTTCAAGACAAAAACTGTAAGAAGACAGAAAGGAAGTCATTTTATGATGATAAAGGAATCAACTCAGCCAGAAAATATAACAATTTTAAATATACGTGCACCCTACACTAAAGTACTTAGACATATATAGCAAATCATATTCAGCTAAAAAGAGAGGCTCCAATACAAAAACAATTGAGAATTAACACACCACTTTCAGCATTGTACAGATCTTACAGACAGAAAATCATGAAAGAAACATCAGACTTAATCTGTACTGTAAGACAAATATACCTAATAAATATTAACAACATTTTATCTAATGGCTACAGAACACAGATTGTTCCCAACACATAATTTTCAAAGATACACAACATTTTAGGTTACGAAACAAGACTTAAAACATTCAGAAAAGTGAAATAATATCAAACATCTCTGTTCACAATGGAATATAACTAGAAATCAGTAACAAGATGTCTGGAAACTATACAAACAAATAGAAATTAAATAATATGCCCCGAATGAAAAGTGAATCAATAAACAAAGAATGAAATTAAAAAACTTCTTCAAACAAATAGTGAAAAAACCACATACCAAAACCTATGAGTACAGCAAAAGAAGTACTAAGAGAGAAATATATAGATGTGTTTATATCAGAAAAGAAAGAAAAAAAATCAAATAACCTAAAGTTGTATCTTGAAATAAACAACAGCAAAACAAACCAAAAATTATAATAATAAAGATACAGCAGAAATAAATAAAATTGAAATTAAAAAATACAAAAGATCAGTGAAATGAAAAGTTGATTTTTTAAGCAAATAAATAATGTGTATAAACTTTTAGCATGACTAAGAAAAAAGGAAGACCGAAATAAAATCAGAGATGAAAAAGGAGACATTATACCTGAAACTGCAGAATTTCAAAAGGTTATTAGTGGCTATTAACAACTATATGCCAATTAATTGGAAAATCCAGCAAAAATGGGTAAGCTCTTGGATATATACAACCTACCAAGATTAATCAAGGAAAAAATCCAAAACATGAACAGACCAATAACAAGTAACAAGATCAAAGCCATAATAAAAAGTCTCCCTGGAGAGAAAAGCCCAGGACCTGATAGCTTCATCACTAAATTCTACCAAACATTTAAAGAACTAATACCAACCCTTCTCAAAAACTCTTCCAAAACATAAGGGGAGGAAGGAATACTTCCCAACTCATTCTTTGAGGCCAGTATTACCATAATGCCCAAATCAGAAAAAGATACAACAAAGGATGAAAACTATAGGCCAGTATCTATAATAAATATTTATGTAAAAATAATCAACAAAATATTAGCAAACAGAATTCAACAACACATTAAAAGATTGTTCATTATGACAAAGTGGGATTTATCCCAGGGATGCAAGAATGGTTCATCATATGCAATCAATCAGTATGATACATCATATCAACAGAATGAAGGACAAAATCATATGATCATTTCAACTGCTGCTAAAAAGGCATTTAATAAAATTCAACATCCTTTGATGATTAAAAAAAGCCCTCAAAAAGCTGGGTATAAAAGGAACATGCCTCAAAATAATAAAAACCATATATGGCAGATACACAGCTAGCATCATACTGAATGGAGAAAAAAAAAAAAAACCTGAACATCTTTTCTTAAAAATCTGGAACATAACAAAGATGCCCACTTTCACCACTGTTATTCAACATAGTACTGGAAGTGCAGTAAAGTACTAAAACAGCAGTAAGACAGGAGAAATACTAAATGGCATCCAAATTGGAAAGGAAGAAGTCAAATTACCCTTGTTTGTAGATGGTATCGTCTTATATTTAGAAAAATCTAAAGACTCCACCAAAACTGTTAGAACAGATAAACAAAGTCGCAGGATATAAAATGAACATACACACATCAGTAGCATTTCTATATGCCAACAGGGAACAATCTGAAAAAGAGATCAGAAAGTAATTCCATTTACAATAGCCACAAATAAAATTAAATACCTAGACATTAACTTACCCAATTAAGTGAAAGA